CTTACGAAAATGTGTACCCGGAAACTAAAAACGACCATGATTCAATGTTACCAACAATTTATATGAAGCTGCTAATGCCTTACTGGACACCTTCTGTGTGGAAGACTCTGAAGAAGATGATACTACATGGCACCAGAACTTGCGTGCCCTTAGATCTTTTCCATTCTCCTCTACGAACTCTCCCCCTTTTACATACAGAATTTAAAAAATATACTATATAGAAGATCACGTGAAAAAAAATGTTAAACATGTAAACACTGTCAGAACCCACAAAAGAATGTGTTATACCAGAAAATTTTGAAGCTGAAAATATGCCTGTAAACAATACAGAAATGAATTCATTATATAATATATCTGGTTATTTAATAACAAGTATAGAACAAACCTCAAAAACTTGTAACAAATGTATTACATTAGTAGGATCCAAAGAATGTCCTCTATTAGAATATTCAAAATTAGTTGAAATTAAAAGTTTTATAAAAATTCCATGTGTTTTGTAATAATAAAACTTTTTATGTTTTTAGATATGAAAGATATTTTCCACCTATATTATAATTTGGTGGAAAATCAAAACATTAATTAATTAAGAAAATTTTATTTGAAAAAATTTAACAAATATATTAAAAATGACCATACTTAATAACAGTCTTCTCAAAAATACTGGAGTAAGCCTTTTGAATTGTATGTATGGTTGAGCCAATATAAATTAAGTCCCCGTGGAATCTATCATCCCTAAGAGAAATAGAGTATACTCCTGGGGCTCTGCTAAGATCTATTTTATCTTTTGCACTGCATAGAAGCTTGTAAATTGTACCGGATCTCCTGTACCATTCTGGTTTGCAATATCCTTGTATAAAGTGTTCAAACGTTAATTGAACTGAACTATGGTGCACCTGGAGCCTGCGATGCGTTGTTGGCCTCTGTTAGAAGTAGACTGGGTGTTGGAAATGCTGTGTGTTGCAAGTTGGTTGGCGTAGGTGCAGGCTAAACTACGAACCATGTTTCTTCTGTAGCCGTGTTCAACCGCTATATATCTTCTATATGTTGTAGCTCAAGCAGTGTCGTGCCTACTGGTGTGATGAGTGAAGAGAATAACTTTAAAGACTGTGAGACGGTGGCGTGTGCGTGGAAATACCTGTTTGAGAAATGTGAACAAAGTCAGTGTAAGAACAAACAACTGTAACTTCATTTTATTTAAAGAAAAAAAGGAGTTTTTACAATATAAAGACAGGACATTAAATATACAAAAAAATTATTAATAATAAAATCTCCAAAAGCTTTCCCGGGAGAGAGAAGAGTTACGTCAGGCCAACACCCAGCTTTACCTTTGCATGTTGCATAAGCATGCGTACGTTGTATATTCCAACATTAAATCCTGTCAAATTAGTAAACACAGTAGTAGTTTTGACAAACCGAATATCTATTTCATTAACTATGACTGATTTCAAAATTTTCTATATGAATTTTATTATGAGGAGGAAAAAGCTTTTTTTAGACCCAAATGGGTTCATGGATAAATAAATTACAAGGACAAAACTAACATAATAGTACACTTATTAAATTGTGCTATTATGTCAATTTATTATACCTTAAAAATTTATTATACATACAAACAAATTATATACATAATACAGTAATAATAATTATTTGCGCTATTAAAATTTACATTAAGTGAGAAATTTTTCTATGTTTTTTACTTTATATTGACAAAATAAATGATTGATTAATCGTTTGCATGAAAAAATGCAATAGACAGGTAACAAAAAAGTGCAAAAATCTGGAGGTCAAGTAGGACTTGTGACCAGCATTGTTGCATCCTATCATCAATGTAACAGAACACTGATTTAATATAATATCCATTATTGAAAAATAAACATCCATGTTTGGGTTTGTTAATTGTTCACATACACTGCTTTCTGCCCAGTACATCAATTGGCAAAGCTTATAGTTTTGCCAATTTGATGAATGAGATTTCATGAATGTAAATGTGTTCTCTGGTGCAGCATCTTCAGGATTTGCTGTTAATATATTTTTGCATTCATCACAACCAAGTGATGGCAGTAGACAATAAATAATGCAACCTCTTAAATAAGGATGCACCGATAAGCAAAATGCCGATTACCAATTAATCAGCCATGCATTATCGGCCAATTAATGTTAATAATTTATTGCATTAATAGTGAGATCCTGGAGTTAATTATACAGTTAATTATAATGAGGGGAGAAAACACATTTTTCTCCACCTGGTATTTCCATCTCCCTCGGGTCAGGTAAACAAGAGACGATCGAATATCCTCGCAAAATCAACAATCTCTTCCTTTGTTTCTAAAATAAATCTCAACACTTAATTGTTGACGCATGGAAACTTCGACATTGTTTAAAAAGCTGAAGTGTTTCTGTGTTTAACAGAAACAAAATATATTTCTTTAACCGCTGATATTTGGACAGCAACTACAAACAATTCTCCTTTTTTAAGTGTAACAGCCCACTGGTTGAAGGATGATTTTCAGCAGGAAAGAGCTGTTTTGCAAATTGTTTCCTTTGAAGGTTCCCACACAGCTACACGAATCAGTGAACAGTTAAAAATTGTTCTTGAACAGTATAAGTTGACAAGTGATAAGATATTCTTAGTACTGAGATTCTGCAGCAAATCTGGTAGCTGGAATTAGGAATTGCAACTTAGAAGCATTATCATGCTTTTTACATATGCTGCAGCTGACACTAAACAAATGCATATTTTCTGAACAAGATGTGAAAACTATAATCACAGTTAATAGAAATATTGTCACACATTTTAATCATTCTGCTGTAGCTGTAATCAAATTGGAAAATTTGCAAGAAAAGTTAGGTTTGCAGAAACACAAATTAATTTGAGATGTTCCTACTCGCTGGAATTCTATATACTACATGTTGGAACAGCAAAAGGCTCTTGTCACATATGCTATAGATCAGGGGTGTCCAACCCGCGGCCCGCATGCGGCCCAAAACAAGTTCCAATGCGGCCCAATAAACGTGTAAACAAAACCGACAAATTCTTTTATTTTTTTATTTATTTATTTCAACGGCATAAACTAAAAAAAAAAAAAATTCACAAAGCTGTAAACTTTTATACATATTTTATTTTTGAGTGAAAAGGAAATATTTTCAAATACTTGGAGATGTGTGAATGACGAAGGAATACTAAATAAAGCTGAAGTTGTGACTCAAAGGATTAGAGACCCAAATTTGAGAAAAGGAGAGAAAAACCAAAAGATAAAAAGTAGTGAGGAAAGTTGGAAAATTAAGGGTCAATATTTGCATAACAGAAGGTCTATTTAACCTTTCTCACTACTTTTTATCTTTTGGCCTTTCTCTCCTTTTCTCAACTTTGGGTCTATAATCCTTTGAGTTCCAACTCCAGCATTATTTAGTATTCTTTCCAGCATTGAAAGATCATTGAAAGATTTGGCTACCCTTTTTTCAGTTTGGCGTAAAAATTATCATTTCGCGCATTGGCTACTTTCAGGGCTACATATTATTTATAAATATATTAGTCGAATAAAAATGCAATTTAAAATGGTGTTTTGTCGTTTTCTATTAATTAGAGACCCAAATAAAACAAATATTTGTGTTTTTCAAATTATTTTTTGTTTGTTTCCTTTATAATAAATGAATTTATTTATTTCTAAGTAAAAATTGAAAGGGCCTGTAGAAGTAATTTTTTAAAATATCCTTGTTCGTGATAAAGTTTTAATACTTATTACTATAATCTAGACATGTTAATCCTTAAATATACTTGTATATTTAAGGATTGGGTCACAAATATATTATATATACTTGTGGCCCAAAACTCCATGACTTCTTCCAATGTGGCCCAGAAGAACAAAAAGGTTGGACACCCCAGCTATAGATAATAAAATTCCTACGTCGAGCCCATATCAGTGGTCTCTCATTGAAAAAATTGTTCTACTTGTAAAACCATTCAAAGAAATTACTGTGGAAAGGCAGCAAACGAGAAGCCACTTCATCTTCAGTAATTCCCACAATAGAGACTCTGAAATTATTCTTATCAAAAGCAAAGATCAGTAGTTCCTTTAGTGGCATTAATATCACAACAGAAGAACTAGAAAATCCAATAAAAACAAGATTTTCAGCATGTATAGAAAACAAGTCTTTATGCTTGTCACTTTTATTAGATTCAAAATGAAATTTCAAAAATAGGATATACTAGAGGAAATAAAAATACGGGCAATTGATAACTTAGAAGATGTTCATAATTTAAAATCTCAATAAGAATTAAATTCTGAAGATTCTACTTCTGGAGGTGATCAAGATGGAGGTGAATTTCTAAGTTTTTCTGATTTATTTGATGAATTAGCTACTGGTAAACAAAAGAATGAAGAATAGTATGTTTTTAAAAAGAAAGAAAAAACGAGACAAACAAACGTTTTGATCAAGAATTAGAAACATATTTATATTTACCCCTTAAACAAAGACATAGTGACCTATTTTTGTGGTGGAAAAGTTTAAAAGAACTTTTTCCTAATTTGAGCAAAATAGCTATGAAATATTTAAGTGCCCCAGCATCTTCCATTGAAAGTGAAAAAATTTTCAGCATTAAAGGCAACATTTATGAGCCGGCAAAAAATAGGTTTTGCCCTGAAAATGGTGAAATTCTCATGTTTTTGCATTACAATTTAAGGGTTTTACAGTTTTGAATATTAAATATTTATATGTTTTATATGTTTAAAGTTTAAACTTATAAAACAAATAAAAATTTAATTTCTCTTCTTAACCTATTCAATACTCTGTTTTTTATTTAAAGTGTAAACTTTATATTATATGTTATATTATACTTATAATATGTATCGATAAAAGGAATAATTTGAATTGTAAAATTTTTTTAATATTCAATTTGTCATGTAATAAATAATAAATATATAACAGAAATTTATTAGTTTTTATTACTAGCATTGTACGTAACATTCTAACAAAAATACCAAAATGTAAAATTGGCCAATTATCGAAACCGATTAATCGGCCAAGTGGCCGATAAGGCCAATTACCGATTACTTACCGATTAATCGGTGTATCCTTACTCTTAAATAGTGTAGAATAAACTTAAATGTTTCTGGTGCACAACAATCATGATCTAATAATTCACTACACTATGATCTCCATAGGACAGGCTTGGATTACACAGCAAATTTTGTAAATGTTCTTCCAATTGTCCTTGAACTTCCTTAAATGGTTTTTATGACTCCAAAGACTTTTCAAAGTAATAAGGGAAGATCCAGGATCAGTTTGAACCGATGCTCGTTTGGGATAATGAACCAAACTGTACACAGTCATCAGTCTGTACAGGTATAAGAACTGTACTGTTATGGGATGAGAATTTCTTCCACTTCCTTCTCTTATCATTCCAAAGAAACACTAATTGAAAAGGAAACATAAGTTAAGACTTTAATACAAGATTATACAATCATTACACTAAGTCAGTTTTACCTCTAATGGGTCCTGATTAAAGTGAGCTGTCAAGATGTAATATGAGTTTGGAAGCAATTGTTTGATGAGTGCTAAGATACTAGTCAGCATCAAGCATAGATTTTCTGGCTCAAAAATTTCTTTTTATCACTATTTCCAATATGTAATCTGAATGTTTCCCATCTATTTAACTATTCTAGAGATTCTTCGATAACCTATTTAAAAAAAAATTGTTAATTAAAACATTTATAATTTTTCCTAGTGAATCATTACTATTTGATTATTACTTGAGATCATTTGAATCAGGTCTGATTCCATCCTGTGGCAATCTGCACTTCAACCCCTTACACTCAAAAATTTACGCTGTCAAAACCCTCAGGCTCACCAACATGTATTTCAGTCACTTTGAGACATGCCTTTAATCCCTTTGGTAATTTGGAATCTTCATCAACAACTGTTTTAAAATGCTGCAATTTTACCCTTTCTTCAGGAAACTAAAAGTAAAAAAGCAGAATAATGCAATGGCTTATAAATTAGGTGAAAACACTTTATTTTCTTAGTTTTATCTGGAAGTATCTACTTTTCAAAAGATTGTTTCGCATACATTTTAAAATATGTGGTACATCAATAATAGCCAGTACTTGTCTATCTGCAGCAGGGTTTGTAAATGAGCATTGTATATTATTTGTGTCTGCACAAATTCCTAGAGCTTTTAAAGCTGCTTTGTTTGTGCTGGCACCATCAAAAACTATTACATTGACTATTGCACCACACTGTTCTAAATGAAAAATTGTTTTCAAAATAAGTTTTGTAAAAGTAGAGCCTAGGACAGAGCTTTTTGAACAGAATGTGCCAATACATTGTACCCAACTGGCAAAGTGAGGTCTGAACATAAATACTAGGACACGATCACCTGCTGTAAATTCATTCTGTAGCAACACACAATCAACAAGTCCAATCATTTCACCAGTAGCTTTTGAAAGTTCTATATGTTTTTGAAGTGTGATTCATCAAAAATTAAATACCTGCATATATCTTTTACATCATTTATGTACCTTAGTTTATCATCATTAATAATTTGTTGTCTTTATGTTTATTAACTTTTATAAATCCTCTAATATAATATTTTAAAACTCTAATTTATTTATAACTTTTGCATTTCTCGTCAATCATCAGAAATACCTACTTTCAATTCACATACTTTGCACAGAGGACAAGGGCCTGGCAAAGGTTAAAAGTCCATTTACACACAACAGTGACGTGATGGCACAGTGCAGTGAATTTTTGCCTGTGGGAAATCGTTGATCTAGTTTTAAACCACCCTGTCCAGACTGATCCGTCACAGTGCCGTGATCGTACCGCAAAAGTACATTTGACGGGAACGATATTTTCACCGACGGTAAATTTTGTTTTCCAACGGATGACGAACATTTAATTGAAATGGTGCATCAACACCCTGTTCTACTTGATTTATCTCATTCAAAATACACAGACATTGGGTACAAAATGAATATTTTCTCTGTTTTGTTTAATAAAATATGAATGTTGGAACATTCGAAAATATTCAAAAAATGTAGATTTGTCATCGTAATTTTTTATAGAGTATAAAACTCCCATTCTGTTGATATTTTTTGTCCACGCTCGATGTACCCACTTGCAGCACTATCTCAATTGCATTTCTTTTTCTTCTTCATCCAAACATATAACTTTCATAGCCAATTCATCCTCAGAAAAGTCCACGACCACTCACCGACAACGCAGTCACGTCACCGTTGCGTAAATACTCGTCACCGTCACCAAACGGTCACCGTGCCGGCATGCCACCGTTACGTGTAAATGGACCCTAAGGCCATAGCCAATTAAAACACAGAGTCTGAGAGACCTACTGCGACTCAGCAAGGACAAAATGTCATACAACTCACTGAGGCTTAAGATTACATATTTACCTTCGGCATTGTCTTTTCGGGATCGCTTCCTAGACGGTTCTTCATTTCTTGTGACATCGCGTTGATCGTTTTTGAGGTTCAGACTTACTAACGTACTTAGGACAATTAGGAAAGTTTGATGGATACGCATCCGGCGTTAATGTCCAGCGATCTCGTGGAATTTCCACTTTCTCCCCATTTATAACATGGGAGAAGGTTTTTAAAATAAATTTACTATCAAAATGTACGTCACAAACGTAACATTTAGTTGTTAACATCTTGTCGTGTCGTGGAATGCATCGCGTCCACTCTTCGACCTTATCGCTAGGAACACGGAAGAAATGTCTCTTCTCGTTCGACGACCTATATCCTGCCTTGCATCCTGGCGCAAAGCACGTTGGCATTTTTATGTAGTGTAAAAAAAACAATTATAACAGGTCGAAATCACAGATTTCTACATACACAAAGCAAGAACAAAGCTCGTCTGTCAACCGAAGCGCCAACCAGCGGCAAATATTGGCTGTAGCTAAGTTTGAAGATAAGACCGGTTAATCTACCGACTCTGCTCTGAGCTAAAAAAAACTATTTATATAAAATTATTTATAAAATAATTTTATTAAATTACAAAAATTATATGAAATTATAAATCCGATATTAAAAAAAAATGAAATAAATTTTTTATTCTAAAATTAATGTAGGTGGCGCATGGTGACTTTACGTCTGTTTAGCACGAAAAAAATGCTTGTTGGAGCATTTTCGGAACTGCAATTAATGGGGCGCATTTCCTTCGACGACGACCGAAAAAAGATGCGAAATCAAAAACGTGAAATGAATATTTAACGAATGTCCTTCTACAAAAATCCGGTTATTCGTACGTGTACATGAATGAATGCATTAAGTCTGCAGATTGACAAGTTTCTTTTAAGGTATTATTAAGTATTTTTCTTGCTAAAACTATTATATTTTTTCGAATGTTGCGGTTATTAATATATTTTTTAACTTCGTACGGGTGGAAAATTATATAAATTGAAATTTTGCCCCTTCAGTTCGTACTACATACAGTAAACAATGTTGTAGTGGGAAGGGCTAACCCCAGTGTTGCCAACCTTCTGTGGTGAAAACCCCCTAAACACGCTTGAAATTCCCCTTAAAACTAATGGAGTTCCCTCTAAAAACTGAAACAAATTCTCTCTAAACGGGTTTGCTGTCGGTGCAATGCACATAAAAATATATTAGTGTTTTGACAATTTGGAGAAACGAGTTTTTAACTTTAGGCATGGGCAAAGTCGAGTGAAAGTGGGATGACAAATCGGTCCGCTACTGATCTTTGTCGTGAGATTCTCTCGTGAGAACGGTTGCGAATTGTGTGACTTTCGGAAGCTCCTACCGGTTGCCAAACTCTACCGGCCGATGCGGGCAGACTTTACGTTTCTCCCAAACTGTTTCCTCTTCTTGCCGATTTCTTGTTAGAGTTAGGGAAAATCTCCTAAGTCGGCATCGTTGGCTAATCTCCGTTCTCGAGTTTTTGGGAAAAAGTCCGTCGAGAGAAGGGAAGTTGGGGATTTTTCCCCCACGTATGGAGAATAATTGCTTGTAGTGGTTCTTATCTCTATAAAATTTAGTTTTTACTAACAGAAAATAAAATCTCTAACACTGCTTTTTATTAAGAAAGAAACATTCCAGGTATTTTATTTGTTAAAAAAGAGAATATCTAATGAGACCTGCTAAGAGGCAAGAGGGGCCCGCTCTACATATGGTCCCGTACGTGCTCTCCACAGCCATTTGTAGTATAATGCATATTTCAATTTTTCTTCATAATTTTGTTGGAGAAAGTGTATTATTTCATTTCATTTATTCTGTACATAATTTTATTAATGAATGGAATTTTTGCCCAGTCATTTTAAATTTACGATATTTCAGTTGCGATTATGTTTTGGCTCTCTTAAAATTTATTAGTCATGATAATTTGATACTTGACAATTTAAAAAGTTTTATAGATTCATGATATTATTATTTTTTACATATTTATTAAGCTAAATATTTGTTAATATTCAATAAATAATATTCACTGATACTTATGAATTATAAATGGAATATGTTTGATTTATAAATTGCAAAGAATAACAATAATTTATTAAAATTTACACACACTTTTTTAATTGATTCAGCTATTCAGTTTATGAATTATGAACATAGGAAAGTCATTAAAAATACTCAATTTTAATTTAGATATGCAAAACATGTGTTCTAAGCAAAGAAAACTGCAAAGAAAAGATTATCTGAATAGAGGATGATTAGGAATTTAAAAGATACTTCAAAAATTATGCTTTTTTCAAATAAACATTTTTCCAAAATCTACCAAAATATAAATTTTCAAAACAAAAGTATCAAAAATATAAAGAAAGGAAACTTTTGGAAATTAGAATGCCGCTACATTCTATATGTAGAACAGTTATTTTGTTTTACATTTCCTGAAGAGGGCCAATAAAATAGTGGCTGGAAAATGTTTGAATACTGAATTTGGGTGTTTCTTTGCTGAAAATTCTGCTTTTAGGTGTGATTCTTTGCATATATAGTTCCAGTTTGTGTACAATAATTGTGTTTTGTTTAGATAAAGGAAATAAACGAAAAATATTTTCTTAATAATTCAAACTATATGCGCTATTGGCCTTTTGCACCAAAATAAGACGGTTAATAGAATTAAGTAAATGTGGTATTTAATTTAGCCATTGAAGAGTAGATCATTTGAAAATCACTAAAATATCATTTTAACAAGATAAGTAAACAACATAATTAATTGTTTCAAAGACAAGAAATTTGCAAAATGAGAGTGGTAGTTCTCTCATATCAGATCACTGAGTGACTGAGGGATGCAGGCTGTGCGTGCCTGATTTACATAATTCTCACCACTAAAATGCATTGCAATGCTTTTTGCTTAAAACTCAATGGAGTCAACTTACAACACTGTTTTCTATATGTGCCACGAATATGAAGAGGTGAGTGAAAGAACGGGTTAAAATTTCAATTTACAGAATTTTTCACTTGTACCTTTAACATTGCTTTATCTTTAAACAGTAGTATTGTGAATTCTAAATATAAGCTTAAAGGCTTAAAGTTTTATTTCTTATACTTAGGAAAGTCAATTCAATTTATTTCATTAATTTTATACAAAATTCAAGGAGTAAGAACATACTTTATAGTTTGAATTCTAGAACAATGGTCGGCAACCGGTTGTCCATGGAGAAATTTGAACATTGATCAACCAAAGGTTATGCGAAGTATTACGAAAGAAATGCAAAATGCTTAGTTGCTTTTTTCACTCATTGGGGTTTTTTTATTCAAATCTAAAACCAAAAACAAAATGACTCTTATCAATAAATAATGATTAATAAACAATATTATGAGTGCGATTGTCGTCCTTCATGGAAAAGCGCAAAGAATCCATAAACTTGTTTGAAACTAGTAGCCATGAACTTTAGGCTTGCATTAATTTGTTATAATTAAACATGTGAGTTTCCTATTAATATAGTGAAATTGAACTTTTATTATCATTATTCTGCAGATTTTGTATCATTTAAAAAAATTCATGATAATTGTCAGGATTCAAAATTGTGTCTTTAGTGGTACGTGAGGTGAGAAAGGTTGCCGACCGCTGTTCTAGAACATATAGATGAGAAAAAGATTTTTCCAGCAGAAACCATTTATATCTTTCTGAAATGTAGATCATCCCTCTNTTATACTTAGGAAAGTCAATTCAATTTATTTCATTAATTTTATACAAAATTCAAGGAGTAAGAACATACTTTATAGTTTGAATTCTAGAACAATGGTCGGCAACTGGTGGTCCATGGAGAAATTTGAACATTGATCAACTGAAGGTTATGCAAAGTATTACAAAAGAAATGCAAAATGCTTAGTTGCTTTTTTCACTCATTGGGATTTTTTTTATTCAAATCTAAAACCAAAAATAAAATGACTCTTATCAATAAATAATGAACAATAAACAATATTATGAGTGCGATTGTCGTCCTTCATAGAAAAGCGCAAAGAATCCATAAACTTGTTTCAAACTAGTAGCCATGAACTTTAGGATTGCATTAATTTGTTATAATTAAACATGTGAGTTTGCTATTAATATAGTAAAATTGAACTTTTATTATTTTGCAGATTTTGTATCATTTAAAAAATTCATGATAATGGTCAGGATTCAAAATTGTGTCTTTAGTGGTCCGTGAGGTGAGAAAGGTTGCCAACCGCTGTTCTAGAACATATAGATGAAGAAAAGATTTTTCCAGCAGAAACCATTTATATCTTTCTGAAATGTAGATCATCCCTCTGTGACCAAAAAAGAAACTAGAAGGAACCATAGACAGTGTGAAATTTTTTTTTGGTATCATTTTAACATCACTCCTGAAAGTTCAGAAGTGATCCTTTTAGGTATCCTGCTCCAAAGTTTATTTTATGTCTCTTCTTGTATGGAGAAAACACTAATTTTAAACAGATTTATGATGATATTCCAGTGTTTTTAAATGTCAGTATCAATGAAGGAAAATGGAAATTGGTGGTATAGCCTTAGTCATGTAATAAAATTTAAACTTTCTAGATGGAACCATATATATTTGAATGTGTTTCTAGACTTTGTAATTAATGTAATTCAAAATGTATAAAAGGAGGAAAAGGAAATGTGATAAACTGAAAACATCATACCAGAAGAACGTATAGAGAAATCTAGGAAGTCCTATCTCTGGATCTTGTCATTGCTCTGTCTACTGAATAAAATTTCATTAATATGTACATTTTTAAATTTTAAGATTTTAATTCTTTATTTTAACAATATAAAACAATTTTTATAGCCAGAAAATAATATAAAAATTATTTTAATGTTATGATTTTTATAATATTTAACTTGAAGATTAATTTTTCTTTGATAATTTTTTCAATATATATAGCCTCATCCAAATTATAAAATGTACATATTGTTCTATTTTGGTACATCCTGATTGTGTATTCCTATGGATATCAAAACTTGCCACTCCTTCAATTCTATAATTGGAAAAAATTATTCAGTGATTGTAAATATTTTCCTGTTAAGATCGATCATTTATTACATAAGTGATTATAAATTTTGTACATCTTATTAAACAAGTTTGTTTTGTAAAGTTCATATGCAGATAATGATCATAGTTCAGGTGACTGTATCTGTAAATTAACTTTTTAAACTTGTTTAGTAAGATGGTGTACAAAATTTGTAATAAATGAATGATCTTAACAGGAAAATGGTTATGATAATGGACATACTATTATTATGCTAATGAGAAATCATTTTGAGAGATGAACTTTTAAAGACTGCAATATTGCAAATTTAAAATAAGATGACAAATATGTTTTCCTTAAAATAAGTTAATTTTAAAGAATGTTATGGGTAGAAAATTTTAAATTTGCTTAAAAATCTGTCCTTTTCCAATTATAAAATTATTTGTTATTAAAAATAGTACATTAAATAACTAATTAACACTGTTTATTAAAAAATTAATTTGTTGCCTTATAATTTTCCTGAAGTAAAAATAGAATGTAAATGGATAGTATTTTTTATATTCTATTTGTGCCTCCAGAAGAAGAAAAATTATTTGAAATTCATCATTGAGCTAATTATTTTTAACACAATGTTATGTAATGTGCTGTATACTGTTTCTAATATCTTTTTCAGCTTTTAAGTCTTAAATAAAGCAATGTTATCAGTATAGTTTCATTAAAAACTATATATTATGAAGTTATAGACCTCAAAAATCCAAACAATATTCTTGCGTGGATGTAAAAATTTAGATGTAAAACATCTGTGTGCAATTGCCTCATATGTCAAGCTTATTTTGTAGTCAGTCACTGTGGCATTTGCAGGTTTACTTATTTGTTATTTGTCATCAAATGAAACATTTGTATAATGTCAGCATATGGGAATTCAGTACACTCTTGCTAATCTATATTAATTATTTTATAGGTCATTCAGATTAGTGTGTGTGTGTAAATACAAAGTTATTAAATGTATAAGAATACATTTAAATATAATTCAGTTTACAATGTTTTTGATGTTATAAAAGTGAAAATATTTGCTTAAAAATATAATAAAAATCAAGAAAAATGTTTCAGATGTCTAAAATAACAGCTGGAATTTTTATCTATATTTTCTGTAAAATAAGATTATTTCTTATCAAGTTTTAAATTTAAAAATGGGTAAGAAATAATCATATCAATAGCGTCTGTCTGATATAGTTTCAAATGACAGATATGGAACTATATGAATTGTTTAAGTTATTAAATTACTCATGATAATATATAGATATGTAGATTGCATTACAGAAATGTTTTATATGTAAGTTGTAACAACAATGTGCCAGACATTTAATTTATTTATAAATTACAACTTAAAATATATTAATTTTAAGTTGTAATTTATAGATAAATTCTGCTAATTTCAGGAAATCAACTTTTAAAGATTTATAGTATGTGGAATGAGTCGGATTATTTATACATTAAAATATGATTTTGCTTTTTGCTTCTGTTAATATAAGAAATATTCTAGTTATTCTGGCAGTCTCAAGGCATTTAAATGACAAATTTTTGGAATGATTTTAATAAGTAAATATGATTTAATGTACATATATTTTGCAAAAAAATATATTAACTGTAATGTCAGGATTATCTTGATATACATAATGTTTAATATTACAGAAATAACTTATGGATACAAATTCACTGAGTTCAGTGTTAATAACGTTCCTTTAGTATTAACACAATTAAAATTTGTTCTTTTCACCTGAAGACGATGATTATACACTTGTTGAAAGTGCTTGTGTTAATACTAAAGGAACTTTACTAACGCTGAACTAAGTGAATTTGTATCCATAAGTTATACAAATACTATTGGCGTGAGTTTTTAAATTTATTTTTAATTACAAATATCAATGGCTTATTAATTGTTTAGGAACTAATAGAAGTGAGTCTTTCTAGAACATTTCAAAACTCTAAACTATTAGAAAACAGCAAAAAACAAAATGAATAATTCCACTTCTTAGATAAATTTAGCTCTGAAGATAAGCCAGCAAAATTCAAAGGCACTTGAATTTTAAAGTTCAAATTTTTCACTTTAATAAATATTTTTTTTTATAATTCTGATTTGAATAAGTGTTTGTTTTTAACTTTATCATTATGTATACTTTGACCTTTACATGAATAAATCATAAATCAAATTAGAATTGTTTGTTTTCATTTATGTTGTTTTTCAAAATTAAAATTTACTGCAGTTTACTATTTATATATTGTCNGCATTTGAAATAATCACGAAATAACAGAATTTGATGAACCTTGATCCTGTCACAAATGGAACACATGAATATAAAGCAGTGCTAAATTTAGCTTGAAACTTAGTAAAAGTACAATAGATTCATCAGGTCTGTTACTGTGAGTTATTTCTTTTCTGAAGCTTTGAAAAACTATCTGTAAAACCACAGTTTTCAAATAGTTGAAAGCATACAAAGAATCGTAACTGATGTACTGACTTCACAGGAGAAAATTTTCAAAAGTGGTTTCAGAAGCAGCTGGATTAGACCCAGTGTGTTTCTTCTGAATAAGATTAATTTGAATGAGATAGGGTTAACACCTAATAATTTTTATAATAAAATTCTCTATAACAATAGTTTCATCACTTTCATAACACATCTATAACCTATTTTGAGTTACATAGAGAAATCTTTGTTTAGATAAAATATTTACAATATTTGAATATCAGAAATTTAAAATTGGCACCTCAGTTATTTGACTTTGACAAGTTATTTAACATACAAAATGGTTTCATTGAGGCAGCATGTTAGTGAAGCCTATTCTTACAGAATTGTGTTTGTTCTCAAAATCTGTCTGCTCAAATATGATTAAACTTTACCACTTTTCATTAATTGCAATGAGGAATTCAAAAATGTAATAAAGGTCCAGTTAAATGTAAAAAATAAGAGTCCCTAACTTTGTTTTCGATATACAGAGGTATTACAGTGACAATATCTGTGCTCTGATGAGACTGAGTATGTCTAATGGAATTTAGGCATTGGGGACAACAATAAAAACATCATCGCATGCACGTAACAGAAAATAAGTGTGAAAAACAAGCAAAATACAAGAACAAGCAATCAATGGTGATTGTTTTGTTCTTGGATCATCTCTTTGTACCTGCCCAGTGCAAGGATCGTGTCTCCCATGGCCAACAGGTACAAGGTTATCCTCTTTTGTAGCAGAAAGTACAAAGCTTGCCATTCATGTCCTTCAGGTACAAGGATTGTCTTTTCTATGGCCTAACAGATGCAAGGATTGCTTCTTCCTTTATTGCTTTGCCTCAATTCTATTATCATTCGACAAAGTCATATGATATCCTAGTTTTAATTTAATATTTTGATTCTCATAAAATTATTACAGATTTTAAAAAATTAACTATTTGGAAATTAGATTTTTGACAATAATTGAAACAAGTTATATCAAACTTATAAATATGTAAAAAAAAATTTTACTTTTAAAGGAAAAAATTACCAACATTTGGACACCACAGTTGGGAAAATGCTGCAAATTTTGTTGCAAAATGTTACATGGAAAATGTTAATAGAGATATATATTTTGAAGATGTTAAGCTTCAGATGGATGCTAAACTGTGGGGAGAAGAATATAATCGACATAATCCACCCAAGAAAGTAATTAAAACTTGAATAATTTTTATAATTAGAGTTACGTAAAGAATCATTTTATAAATAGTAGTTAAACTTTTTTAGATACTCCTGATTTTAATTTGATATTAATAAATGTTTATCTTTATGTTTTAGGTAGATATATTTCAAATGTGTGTAATTGAATTTGTGGATAGACCAGGAAAACCTTTATATCACTTAGAAAGATATATTGATGGCAAATATATAAAGTACAATTCAAATTCTGGGTATATTAGCTGTGAAAATCTTCGTTTAACTCCACAGGTAAGGAAAATCATTTCAGTTTGAAGATTGGATTTAATAATTGATTTTAAAAAGCGAGAAAACTGGTATTAAAAATAGTTTAATCTAGCAAATTTAGATACAATCAAAAGTAGTGCACTTTTTAAGTAGTTTTACCCTTGTACAAGACTGAAAAATACTTGTAAATGGATCTTCTCTATAAATATTAAATTAAGAACTGCCAATATCTGTGAATTACTATGTAAGATAGTTTTGATTTCTTATAGTAATAATATCACCGAATCATACAATTTCATTCCTAAATATGTGAGGCCCTGGAGAGAAAGGATTACATTCTATTTTAAAAGTAATGTACAGTGCTCTATGATAAGATAAGGAAAAATGATAAGTCTGTTATGAGAGATCTTTCAGTCTCTCTGATGTACATTTTATAAAAGTTGTGTTCCTGTGATATGAAAAGGCTATACTAAAAAGACTTCAAATTTTCTTTGTTTTCAAATTATGTATATTATATTTTAAGGTAAATTTCCATTGTGTACTTTTTATTGTTGTAAAACATTAAAAGATTCTTGTATTAAAGTAAAAAGTTGATAATTTTAGTCTAAAAATGTAATTTATATAAAAGTTTCAGTATAATTCAGTTAAGTTCTAAATTAGATAGTGAATGAATGTCTGATATCCTCCAGCTTTAGATCCTGAACAAATTTGAAAGTAGAAACAATGAATTTATTGAACAAACCTAACTGAAATTATACTTAAGTAGTTGAAAGATGCTGGATCAATTTCTATGAATTTACTTCAATATTCACACTTTGTTGTTTATTTAATCTAGAACCTTAAACTGTAGATTTAGTTTTTATAATGTTTCTTCACTGTGATTCAGTGACTAGCTGAAGTTAGTAAAGCCTCCTTTCTCATCTTAATCTCCAAACCATACAATGGTGGAGTTAGATGGAACAGAACTGGATGAAGGGTCATGGAAGTTGTTCTATGCCTTTTCTGGGACAAAGAGGATTCCAATTCCAAGTTTTATTCATAATTTATAAGTTAAGTTATTATAAAATAAAGTTTTTACATCTTAATTTAGGCATTCAGTCACTTTACATTTGAACGATCTGGTCATCAGTTAATGGTCGTGGACATTCAGGGAGTCGGCGATCTCTACACTGATCCTCAGATTCACACCGCTTCGGGTCGAAATTATGGAGATGGAAATCTCGGAGTGAAGGGAATGGCTCTGTTTTTCCATTCTCATCTCTGTAATAAGATATGTGAAAGTCTAGGACTCACTCCATTTGATTTATCTCCCACCGAATTAGCTGAACATAACAGAATTGCACAGTTACAGGTATTTTTATAATTAATAAACTTGATTAGTTTAAAACTTTTATTACATAAATTTATTTTATTGAGTTAAGATTTGTTAATACATTAAAATATATGATGTATGCATTTTGATATTTGTAATTATACTAAATGCTAAAAGTTACAGAAATCTAATTATTTAAAAAATGTTTTATTTGAACCTTTAATCTATTTTTTCATTTCAATGTCATTTTTAATGTGATCTGATGAGATGAAAAGTCTCAATATCTTTTATATAGTACTAAAAATAAGTTTCCTAGTGTATGAAGTTGTATATTTTGCAATGTTAATGGAGTCATGTTTGACAAAGAATAGTAATTATATTGATGTAAGATATAAATATATCTTACATAGTACTTCTGAAATGCAGGATCTTCCAACAGAAATATTAGCATTTTAAATTATTGTAATTATGCTAATTATTATCTGAGAGTATTATAATGTACATCAAAGCATTGGAAAACTATCCAAGTTTACATTTGTCCACTACAATTTCTCAATGTGTGCACCTTGATTGCATGACACACATCCGACATATACAAATTCTTCCTATACTCACTATGGCATATCTGTCATCACTCCTCCCACAGTAGCCACAATGCTATGGCTTTTCAGATTTCTTGTATTGTACAATAATGAGTAATTCTAAATTTGTAAATTGCAAAATGCCTTGTGTATTGCAGAGTCACCTTTTTCATTTACAATGCTTCCTAGAGATGGTAGACAATGAGATGTTTGAATGTATAGGGGAGATGAAACTCAGACAGTTACTGTATTAATTACATAAATTCAGTTTCTGCTAATACCTTTCTTTTGTAAATAATAATTACCATTACCATGACAATAATTAGATTGACAAATGTGGAACAGAATATCTATTATTGCTAAAATGTGTTCTGTGGTAGGTTTCCCTGATGTGTTTGTGAGAGAATGGTGTTTCCATGGGTTTTCATTGTTAGCTTCCTTGATGGAATTTTTATGCATCAATTAAAAGGAAGAATTTTCTTTAAACAATTGCAATACTTTTACCTTATTTTAGTATAGATTTGAACTAATGCAAGCAATAACTGCAAAAAGTGTAACATAGCAAAATGTTTTTTTATTTTAATGTAGAAAGACACTGAGGTTCTAAATTTGTCATAAGCACACACGGCTCCAAAATTATAGAATTCTAATGTTTTTTTATATTAAATTGGAACTGTATGATTAATTGAATCATTTGAAAGTATTTGCTTTGATAGTAAAATTAAACATTTTACTATCAAAGCAAATACTTTCAAATAATTCAATTAGTCATAGTAATGAAATTTAGAATAGTAATGAATAATGAAAGTAATATGGTAATATGAGAGTTATCTCATACTAATGAAATTTACTCATTATTATGAGAGACCTAAATTCAAATATGAGTAGGAATTATCTGTGTTTTTGTCAAATATTTCAGGTTGGGATGTTTTCCTCGTTGGCTCCCAAACCATAATTTTGTTGCAGGCAGTATGAAAGAAGAAATATCATTTAAATCAGAGGGATCTTATGGAGTTTTTGTATCTGGTATCTGTGTAAAGGCTTTGAAAGCAGTATGGTTGCTTTCTCTTGATATTTTAGGTAGAAGTTTATCCCCCAATTGCGGCACATCCAGAATCTCAGCAACAGGTGTGAGTTGGAACACGATCTAGGTGGTGCTGATCATAATAATTTATTAATATGCAAAATTTTGAGTTTGAGGTTAAATGCTACAAAAGTAAATTGGTGAGTTGTTATAATATTGTTCATTAAATTTGAAAGTTTGTTTATTAAAATTTTAAATTCCGTTAAAAAAATCAGAAGTTGTGTTAATTTTCCTATAACAAAATAATGTCGGAGGTTGTAAAAGTTTCACCAGAATTTTGGAGAAAGTGCACTTCAAGTGATTTTTTTTCATATGTTGTAATCCGAGTTTCCAGAAATAGATGTAGACGAGAGAATATTGTCAGATGTTAAGTTTGCTATTCACCTTGGTTTGCAACCCGTAGTCCCTATGCGTAAGAGATTAGTGGGTTATTGATGCAACTGTTCAAGCATGACCTGATGTTATATAATTTTCTCTTGAGATTTGGGAGGGAGGCTGTGGCCATCTGGCCAACGCTGCATGCGATTGAGCAAGGCACCTCCAGCGGAGCAATAACCTTGTAGATCAGCACCCTTTAGTAACGCGCGTGACCCAATTTTGGGGGCTATGTCTCAGTGCCATCTAGATCGTATTTCAACTGCACCTGTTGTTGAAATTCTGGATGTGTCGCAATTGGAGCTTGGAAGGTAAACTACTACCATATTTTATTATTTCAAATTTGTTGTTTTCATTATGACAAAAAATAATAAGATTTAATCCTTCAATAAGTATGTGTTTTTTTTTTTTTTTTTTTCAGAAATCTTGTACAACTGTAATACGTGGAAAAGAAGAATTGTGTTTGTCTCCTTCTGAATACGAACGTTCTCATTTGATCGAGATGTTTCGAACTAGAACTTACTCGTCGAATAGTATAACTCCACCTTCGTCGGAATCAAAAAATTTTAATCGTAATTTAAGTAACGATAGTGGAAATCCTAATTCTCCCTTTGATATGGAAAGTTTAGAAAATGGAAAGTTTCCAATTGTTTTAAATGAAGATGATTCAGGAATTGGATCTCATAGGAAAGAGAGTTTGTGTCATGAAAATGGATCTACATCAGATGTAAATTTAATGTTCAAGATAAAATATTTTTGAAAAGTATAATCTCTTTATTAACAAAAGTTATTTCCGTGCAGTACATAGATGTAGATTTTAAAGAATTGGTTATGCGTAAATCTCGACCTTCATGTGTTCATCATGAAATGCAATTACGAAGAGATTTGTCTACCAATGGAAAAAGATGTTTTGAATATTCTGTTTTAGGACAAGTAAAATTTTGAATAATCTTATTTTGATGTAGAAAATTAAAATATTTTTATTTTTATGATATATTTATTTTTTCTTTTGTAGATTCACTTAGAACTTAGTAAATATCATGCTCTTGGACGTTTTATTCCCGAAGATGAAGAGGTGTATGATCACGAAGCTGCACTATATCACTTAGAACATGCTGCTAATTGTGGAAATATAGAGGCTCTTGTGACAATGGCTCATATTTACTTGCAGCTTCCTCATAATCTTCTTACTGAAATATCGGTTCCGGTAGGTTAAAATTACATATTTATTTTATATCATGAGCTGAAATATATTTATTTTCAACTGCTTTTAAAAATAGTTGTGTAAATTACAATCTAAACTTGATAAAATTAATGGTTTCAGTGTGTAGTAGATATTTGGTGGAAAATTTGAACAAATCAATATTTGCTTTTTATATTTGAAAACTCATGAATACTGTCAATTAGTCATATAATAATATATGCAGCGCCACATATATTTAAATCTGAAAACATGTCCCAATTTCTGAAATGTGAAACCAAAAGATCTATTTAAAGGGAAAATATTACAATTGTGTTACAGTTCTGCATTTAAAAACAATGCCAAAATATTTTTTATAGAATAATAAGGAAGACTTTGAAAAAGGTATGAATTGGATGAAAGAAGCAGCTTGTGCCGGAGATCGTTCTGCCATGATATATTTAGCACGTGCATTTGATATGGGAACTTTTAATGGGATGGAGTGGTAATAATATACTTAAATTTATATAGTATTTATATTCAATGTTGTTTTACAATTATATTTTTATTTTAAAAAGGAAATTATCCTGGAAAGAAGCCATAAATTGGTATGAAAAAGCTGTAACCATGGAAGAGGATGACGAAGGGGGACATTACGACGACTGCATTCACGATCCACGCTATCTTTTAATTGCTCGACAGGCAGAGATGTATAGGGTAGGAGGTCACGGCCTCGAAAGAGATCTTCAAAAATCAGGTAATTAACATTCCTTTGGTAATAAGATCATTTGTGGCCTTGTCATTCATTATATTTTTAATTTAGGTGAACTTTATAGTTTTGCTGCCGAATGTGCCACCGAAGCCATGAAAGGGAAATTAGCAAATAAGTATTACATGCTGGCCGAAGAAGTTTGGAGCGAGATGGAGGAATGAATTTACATAACTAGTCTTATAAAGTGATATTGTTACAATTGTTATATATATATATATATATAATACTTTTTATAAAAATATATTTACAAATTTTATATAATGAGAAATCTTTGAAAATGAAACTGTTGTAGGGCCAATGCATATGAGATTGATATGCTTTATTTTCATAACTTGCTAATGGTATAGAATTGTTTTAAAATGTAGAAACTCTTGTTTATTTTGAAAAATATAACATTTACATTGATAATTTTAATCTGTCTTTTATATCTAATGACTCCATAGAATTGTTAAGCTAAATAAGGATGTTAAATCAGTTAACAAGTCAACGTTTTAAGGGAGATAGAAGGTTTTTCGAGATTCAAAAGACATTTCTTTCTATTAAAATGTTGACTCCTTAGTTAGACACGCTGAGAATATAAAGACGTATTAGTTGTCTGAGGCCAGAATTGAAGTTTCAAAATATTTCATTTAAAATATACTTACAAAATATTTGCTTTTTTGTAATTAGACATTTGGATATACAGTAAAGCATCGATTATCCGACTCAATTATGCGTAAGAGATTAGTGGGTTATTGACGCAACTGTTCAAGCATGACCTGATGTTATATAATTTTCTCTTGAGATTTGGGAGGGAGGCTGTGGCCATCTGGCCAACGCTGCATGCGATTGAGCAAGGCACCTCCAGCGGAGCAATAACCTTGTAGATCAGCACCCTTTAGTAACGCGCGTGACCCAATTTTGGGGGCTATGTCTCAGTGCCATCTAGATCGTATTTCAACTGCACCTGTTGTTGAAATTCTGGATGTGTCGCAATTGGAGCTCGGAAGGTAAACTACTACCATATTTTATTATTTCAAATTTGTTGTTAAAGGATGTTATGGAGAATTTTATCTATTAAAAAACTTTAATGGTAACCATGTCTGTATATGTAGTATTATCATCTTTTTCATTATGACAAAAAATAATAAGATTTAATCCTTCAATAAGTATGTTTTTTTTTTTTTTTTTTT